TAATATTATCGCGCCACTGGTTGTTTGCGTAACCCTGTCGGCCGTCGTACTCAGTCCGATAGGGCATATCTGGAGTCCAGCCCCCAAAATGATCATGGTAATAATCGGCACGACAATGGTTTATACATTGCTCGCGGCACCGGTAGCCCAGCGATGGGTAATCCACGCAATCGGTGTCATAGGGAGCCGGCAGGCGCTCAATGGTTGTCCGTTTGTATCTAAGACTAACCGATATATACCTATCGGTGTTGAAGTGATAGCCATCTGTTTGGCCGCCAATGAAACCCACAAACGGTTGGCGCCGGGAGTGCACAAACAGTACCATGTTTTTGATGTAAGTATTATCTAAAATGATCTGGTACAGTGGCCTAGAGTTGTCATTAAACATTGTATCATGATTAATACGATAGTGATTGTTGTGTTTAAGCTGGGTGATATTCTGGGCGAATAGTGTGTAACACTTGCGCTGGTAGTCGACAGACTCTTCAACGTTGGCCACGAGTTGACAGTCAACGTAACCGTCCGGCGAGACCACGTGTGCCAACCCTATGGGTCGCATCACTTGACACCGTTTGAACACTCGGTCGGCGCCAACCGTTGCGTTCAGTAGCTGTTCCCGGAGTGGCAATTGTCGCACGTATTGCCCGTAAAGGTATATGTTTTCGTTATCACGTGTGTTATTATTAATGGTGGTTGTGTTGGCCAGTCTACTGTCTGGAAAACGGGCCCTAATGTAGTCCTTGTCGGCCCCGTAGCTAATGTTTGTGCAGATAGTGATGGCCGGCATTTCAATCACTGGTTCCCGTTTGAGATCTATGTTTACCACAGTTTGATAGCTGTAATACCGGCGCGTTGTGTGCCATATGCTGGCCATAAACGTAAGCACACAAAACAGTGATTTTGCAATTATTATTATTGTAGACATTGTTTAATATTTTAAATGTAAAGTTACTTTTTACTTTATAAATAAGAAATTTTTTTAAAACTTTTTCTTAATTATTTTTAAATTTATTTTCTGAACAATTTTTTAATCAATAGTTTTAATTAATAGAAATAACACAATGTATTAATAAAATTGTATTAATTTTATACTTGTAGATCTACTGTATTGTAAATATTATAATTTATATATTGTGAACATATTGTGTATAAATTAATATTTACCGGACTATTATGTGCATAAGTATATTTACACAGTGAAGGTTATTTTTAAATTTAATTTTACAACACTTTACTTATTATTATAAACATAGTATTCTATTTAAGTTTATTCATGTGTTATTTATACAGACTCCTAAATGACATGTTTTAATCATTATAAACACACAAAAGCAGAATAAAATTCCAATAAGTTTCCTTATTATTCTTGATCTTGGTACTTTGTAGAAATATTTTTATTTACCAAGTTATGTATTTATGAGACGGATATTTTGGTTATTTATTTTGGCTATGTTAACCTTCCAGTTTTTTGTGCACGGTGAGGTTTCGCAAAAATGCTATACAATTATATTATGCATACTTTTTGGAAATTGTATATTTTAATTTACAATAAGAGTAATAGTAAGCATAAAATGATATTAATCTCATAGTTTTAGCATGACCATTGGATAGAATTAACACAATGTAAAAATATTAATAAATGTACAGTCAATCAAATACATTGTGTTGGGTTTAATAAAAATTCTAGATTTATAGTAGGCAAAATATAATATGCAAAATTCCACAAAACATAGACACGATTAGTGTGTTTAACAATATTTGTGTTAAATTAAATAAATTGAATTTTTATAATTGTGAAAAATATTAAATAAAATAAACTGATTTTTATAAAAATTTATTATAACTTTAGCCATAGTTCATGTGAATTGGATGAATAAAGAATGACAATTTGTAAGTGATTAGATTATTTAAGTATTGTAGATAAACAGTTTTTAATTGTTTGTTATCCATATCCTTTACATCATATTTTTTATATAAAAATTTTCCATAAAAGCAACCAGGTGTTTTAGTATCCAAGAATTTATTTATTCTTATATAAATCAAGTGACATGTTAACATGTTCACATTCAAGTAGTAATATTAAAGTTGTATATTTAATAAATTTAATAAAATGGCCAAACTATTTATATTATCTTTACTATTGGTTTCCATTGCTATTGGCCAAGGTAAAGTTTTATATATAACAATTCTGATTGAATGTGTAGAAATAATTAGTTTAATTTTTAAAAACTAATATTTTAATACTATTCATAAATCTCTCTCTCTCTCTCTCTCTCTCTCTCTCTCTCTCTCTCGTAAAATATGTCAATAATTATTATTTTAATTATAAAATACATATATTTCTTGTTAATAATACTAATGTTAATCTTAAGCCTAGTTTCTATAAATATTTATTTTATATTATACTACAAATAAAACTTTAACAATAACAATTCATAATAAATATTAAATGTTTAGCCGATGACTATACGGACAAGTGTTGCCAACAAACGGGTTACGCGCCCTTTACAGAGACTCCGGGCGAGTATTCGCACCAATACTACAAATGCAAATGGGAACCTATGGAACACCAATGGTTATTGAACATGATGACTTGTCCTGGTAAATTATTGTGGAATCAACAGCATGTTAAATGCGAAAGTATTTAATTTGATTGAATTTTGATGTTTGAATATCTATTTTATTATTTGTAATTGGTACATTTTAATTCAATAAATAAATTTATTCGTCATTTCTAAAATAAAAACATAATATTATTAATAAATAATTTATAAGGTAATATAAAGTGTTTATAAATTATACATTTTTATAGCGATGATTATATATATTTTAGTAGTTGGGCTTGTAGAAATTATATACGATTTAAACAACCATAGTGGTATTTAAATGTAAACTTTATATAAATTACTACTGAATAATAATTAAATTTGCATATTTTATTTTATAACAATAAATTAATATTTCAATTAACAAATACTTTATTTTAAATTACAATTCAACATTTTCCAAGCGTTGTGAAATTTCTCTTCTATCCAATGGTTGCGACTATCGTTACAATCGACGGTCGGATCGACGATAAAATTTTTCGGATTATCCGACAAAAAGCTGTCAAACGACTGGCGATTCAAATAACGCACAGAGTTTTCGTTTAGGTATAGTCTGACCGCGCATTTCATGCCATCGAAAGCCCGATCGGCGAACGACGTGTCAGTTAACGAAAGGTCCATAAGTTGTAAATCTATTGGACGATTTGGTGACGCAATTGTGCACACCGTGAAGGCCCGTTCGGCCACAATATCAATTGAGCTATGCATAATTTCCACGGCAGCCAAGTTTGGTAAATCGTTGAGTGCTTGCGTAGCAATTGTTTTAATGGGGTTCCTATAAATTCAAAACACATTAATATAGCAGTAATAAAAACATTTTAGTGACATGATAACTTTTATAATTGAAATAGATATGGGATCATGTTAATTAAGGAAATCTTATAAATCGGCTTAATAATTTCAGAAACATTTGCTAATTTTGAATGTTTTTCGTTAAACACCTATGATATTATAAATATTATCAAAATTCTAAACAATATAATAATTATTCATGAACATCTGGCCAGTTTATCATTATCTGTTTTTTAAATAGATTGAATAGTCTTTTTGAATATACAATATTTATACCTTAAAATATGAAGGTATTGCATTTGGTGATGACCCGATACGGCTAGGGTTGGCAACGCTTGGACGCTAGTATTGTCAATGTGCAGAACTTTCAACTCCCATAGGGAATGAATAGCTCCGAATAGATCCCATTCCCGGTCCACCCGTTCGCTGACCGGAGCTTCAATTATATACAGACTAGTAGTATAGGTGTCGGTGCCGTTGAACGCCTGCCTATGGATGCGCTGTACTTTATTTGTCCTGATTTGAATTGACTGGAACTGTAGGCCAGCGAATACATTGGCCGTCAGTTCTTCTATATCCGTGTCGTTTAACCACAAAATTTTAAATTGCTTTTCGTCCATGGTTAATGTTTGGTACAGATTAGTAAAAATTGCCG